TTTTAATTCTAGGTAGATACATATGGTATGTTAGGAGTCCTGTATTGCCTGATTCATGGAGATTACATGAAAGTCTACCAAAAAGGCACAAGATGGACACAAAATAGAAGTTTTAAACGGTAAACTTGAATATGGTCATGACTTTTTAAAAATGAAAACATTTCAACAATTTCTTGTGACAGCTGAACTTTCTGGGTAAATTGAAATAGTAGATTCTAATTGCGTCAATCAATTATTACAGTCTTACACTGGGAAATCGAAATAGGCAGTCAAGGCTATTGTCTATAGTAGATTCTAATGGCATCAATCAATTATTACAGTCTTACACTGGGAAATCGACCATTACTTTTTCTTTTTTACCATCTTTTTACCGTGCCCAGGTCTCTACGGACGGCACGGTCTTAAAATGCAAGCACTATAGGTTTTTAACAAGCGCTCGGCGATTTCCCCACGACTTTACATCGACTGAGACAACTTTGCTTCCGCTTATAAAAACACATGGTATGATGGCGGCCAAACATTTTTGCTATTTGAGACATCTTTATATGAGTTGATATTTTGAGAGAATCAACAGCGAATACTTTTGAGTGACGTGTTTTATCAGCGRGAGCAAAGTTGTCTCAATCGATGTAAAGTCGTGGGGAAATCGCCGAGCGATCGTTAAAAACCGTGGAAAAAAGTGCTTGCATTTAAAGACCGTGCCGGGCGTAGAGGGTTGGGCATGGTAATTAAACCTCTCGGCCTCGGMAGAATGGGCTGTCAGTTCGTTGTCCACTCGCCTTCTAGTGTTATATAGCTATTTCAAATAAAGTAGTCAGAGTGATTGCATGACCAAGAGTTAATGTGGGTATTCAGTTTTTGATGGAAAATGCTCACTTATCTAATGAAAAACACTTGCAAAAAAAATCACCATCACAAATCTTTATTTGATGGAAACAACATTATTGATGATCATGATCGCCATCAATAAGCATACCCACAATAACTTTCGGTCGTGGATTCGCTGTGACAACCTTCTTTGAAATAGCTRTATACCTTGGGCTGTCTGTRGGGAAGATGGAATAAAATGTGTTTTAGAGAWATCGAGTCTATTTTTGAAAAGGTATTATTWACATGATGGCACTAAAACATAGCGGTCAATTTTCTCAAATATATATTTGARCTTCTCAATTCCYCTGCTAGACATACGTTGAAAATTATGAGTTTTACGTAAAAAGTGCGTGAAAAGTTCCGGAATGTTGTACTGAAAGTGTACCATGAACCCCGAGACTCATAAACCAACACTGAATTGGACTCTTCACTCATTACCGTCTCAACTGAATTTTTTTCATATTTTTGCAGACATTGGAATGTAGAGTTATGGAATAACATGTTCGATATATTACTTAATACGCCAAATCCAGACGAGATAGCGACCCATTGTAAAGACCTTCTGCAAGAATTTCTAGACTTCCGTGAAATACTGTGTCCGGCACAATCCGCGATACTCGAACTGGAGAAACAAATGAAATCAAAAACTAAATAATCACTAACTGTATTCTTGACATTTTTGTTAATTTTAGCATTTGATACTTTTATTAAACAAGCCTATATCGTACTTGCCATTAAGGCATAGTTAAAAGAGTAGACTATGTTGTTTCGCCTATTAAAGGGGAATATTCAGTATTGAAATAGTCAAGAATTTTGGACTTAATTATATTGGAGTCATCGCACTTAACCGTGCAACTGTAGAGTACAAACACTAAAACTGTGCACCACTAAATACTGCTAAATTACTTGCTAATTCTATTGTCTTCTATTGTTTAATTAACACTATTTTGTAGTAAATAGTGGAAAGTGTTGCACACATTTAATGTTTGTACTCTACAATCTAAATAGTGCTAGTTAGTTGTATTTAGTAAATYGTACATGCGGTACGCAAATTAAATTGAATTGATACAGATGAAGCATTCAATACCGTCTTGCTTCAGGTCCACTTTTAGTACAAGTTAGTACTACTTAGATTTTGTACAGTTGCACGGTGCGATCACTCTATCCTTGTTTGTTATTTTTATATATATGAGGGGTTGTAACTTAAAAAGGGTCTTAAGGACTAAGACCCCTTTGATGACGCAACGGTTTTATATGCAGTCCAAAGCAAACGATGTACAAATAAGACCCCTTTTCAGCTGAAACTTCTCATCTCGTCCTTCAGTAGCAACAATTACATAAACCCCAACCTACCGTCCGTGCTTGTCGCGCGAAAGGATTGACGCTGAGGTAGCAATGAAAAGCGCTATTGACGTTTCTGTGCTATTGAGACCTGAAAGCAAAACAGAATGTACATTTTACAGACTCAATAAATCCAGAAAATACCCAAATAAATTGTCTTACTCTGACGGCGCGCAAATCGATGTCGATAAAGACACTTTGTCAATCCAACATGGACGCACTGGCAATGCTGTAAAGACTCAAACTGAAACGACAGAGCATGGACCTAAGAATGATAAAATGATCTTTACAAATAAGACCCCTTTTCAGCTGAAACTTCTCATATATATATAATTAGCCGTGCGCAGGCTCCGCCGGGCCGGCTCAAAATGCTCTGTTTTTTATTAGTAGTTTTCTTTTATTTTCTTTCTCTTCTTTTTGTTTTTGCTTTTGTTTTTTTCTTCGGTCGGGTCGAGGGTTCCATTCCTCCCGCGGTTAAGAGACTTTAACTAGCAACAGCGCCGTCCATTTACGCTAAAAAGAATAGAGACGTTAAAGCGCCGTTTACACGAGCAATTTTTCCATGACAAGTTTCTTGACAAGGAAACATTCCCCGTGTGAATGGTCAACAAGTTTTCCTTGCCATATTTTCCTTGTTGTCCATTTACACGAGCAAATTTCGTCCTTGTTGGCTTTTCCTTGACAAGGAAAAATTGCCCATTTTATCCCATTTACACGAGCAATTTAACCTTGTCAAGGAAAAATTGCTCGTGTAAACGGCGCTTAAGTCAGATAACCCAATGCCACGGTRATTGTCCACTGCTCATTGGAGCGAAATGAACAGGTTGCGTGCGCCTCACTGAGCAAATATTCCCTCTATCCGGACAGTAAACAAAATAACTAAAAACAGCTGAAAAAAGACCAAAGGGGTATGTAAGAAATCTATTTAGCAAAGTTCTCTCAGAATCAATGGTTAATCTGTGATAGTTTATATTGTGGGCAGTCCCTCTGAGTTTTAATGAAGAAAATCGAGAGAAGACCATTTACAAGATATAATGAGAAAATTAATTTGTTCCATTGATACAAAACGACCTTTAGACGCAGTCTTCTCTGTTTCTTAAAATTGCTCTGATCACGTAAGATATTAGAGTCTTTGACCCGTTAAGTCTTATCTACATGTTCTTTTCGTTGCGTTCTTTGTTTTCTTTCTACATATTGCGTACAACCTGTTCATAGAATTTGAGAAGTTGATTCATGAAAGATTCATTCTGCCGTCTTTTTTATCTTTATACCTTATTCTAATTTGCGGTTATAACATGTATCAAATGAAAACTATGCAAATTTTGTTTTTTTTCAGGATTGAAATAATTAGATTAATAAGCTAAAAAGAATGGATTCGCCAAACAGGCAAATGTTTCAAACTGGTTGGTCAAGTGGAATTTCATGGTTTTTTCGTATTTTATGAGAAGGAACGTAGGTGAACTTGTATGGTCGGCTCATCAGTTAAGAATTGACATCACATGAAAAGCCACAACTTGACTACTATTACACGTCCAAAGAATGAAGGGAAAACTTTTCGTGCTGCTGATTTTCATAACAATAGATTTCTTTACATGGAACATCCTAATAAAAATCGGACTGAGCGTTTTAGGTCTCTGGACATCGATTTCATTTCGTGGTGGTTTGATTATTCGTCGACAAGAATTTCAATTCTCTAGAACAAATTTGCTTATTTTGTCGCATATGAGGTCTGGATCATCTTTCCTTGGACAAATTTTTAACCATCGAGACGATGTATTTTTCGTGTATGAACCTTTTTATGTCCTTAGATCAACCACGCTCGCATACTCGTCCTTCTACGAGTCCAGCGCGCTCAGATTGCTGAATGATATATTGTCCTGCAGCTTTGAAAGCCAAGAAGAGTTTTTGAATTTCTTGACTAATTTGCCACACCGCCGCTACTCCAGCAGAGCACTTACTTTGCCATACTGTACTTTTAATCACACAAGCCGTGTAACGGGAAAGAAAAAGTATATTTGCAGAGCTCTTGAGCCTAAGTTTACTAGTCAAGTATGTTTGGCACATAAGCACAGAGTTATAAAGCTTTTATCACATCGAATCCCTAACTTCACGGTGAACTTTTTTAAGCCTCTGATCTTGTCGTTCAATGTCAAAATACTTCATTTAGTTCGCGATCCACGGGCAATCATCGCTTCCATGGAAACCGTTGGATGGGTTCCTTCGTACATAAAAACATCAAATCAAAAAAGTTCTGTGAACACTTTTAAATCTCGAGTTAAGAGGTTCTGTAAATCCATGGTCGATATGGTCAAGTTCATGTTAGAAGCCGAAAAATCCCTGTCTGAGAAATATAAATTGCTACGATATGAGGATCTAGTTGATGACATCACAAAAAGCGCCCATGACATCATGACATTCGCAGGATTTCAATCATCCGATGACTTCCTAATATGGCTTCAAAAGAGCACACACGGCGCCATAGAAACGGACTTCCGCAGAGGCGACTATCACTACACAACAAATAGAAACAACATATCAACACTTGTTCAATCCTGGAGATATAAACTGAAGGCAAATCAAATTCTTATAGTTGAAAAGTATTGCAAGCATGCAATGACTATACTGAATTACCCAACGGTCTTCAGTTAAAATTAATACCAAGAAAAGACAACCTTTATACAAAAGTACACAAAGATGTCGAGATGGAGGACATATTACGCTTAAAAGTTAAWCAAGCTCAGAACTTTCGAGTACAGAAATTCTACTTGCATGTCAAGAATTAACTTTGTTGTCGTTTTTTTCTGCACACCTGCTTTTGAAAGTTTCTTTTTTAAAAGATTAAAATTGGTTGAAAGGCCTCGATTTACATCAAAATACTTCTAGTATCCAAATATCACCATAAGACGAATGTCAGACGGTTGAAAACATTTAATATTACCGTTTTTAAGTGCTTAGGAAAGATTTGAAACGCACAGTACAATTTAGCCTCCTCCACAGGCAACTCTTTTTTCCTCCTTTGGGCTTCCTTTGTAACGGTCATAAAGGCCTCAAAAAGACAGGAAGCCCGTGATTCTTAGTGATGCCTGCGGAGGAAGCTAAGCACARTTTATAGACTTTCTGTAAACTGAAAATGGCCGCCTCTAGTCCCTCGCGGCCCCCAAAGCATTATGGTGCACACTGGGCCTATTTTGAACATGGGCTTTGAATAACAAATATGATAACAAAATTATGCCAATAAATATGATAACAAAATTATACCAATGAATATGATAA